TGAGAAAAACTAAAGCTAAATGAAGAAATTGAACTGATATCCCAGTTCATATAGTTATACACGTGAAAAAAAAAACATTGATAATTTATCAATTAGATAAATAATATAATTTAGGTCCAAAATGGATATTGAATGAGAAAAAACCAGCGTTGAATGTAATGAAACGCCATTTTCTGGGAGAGTCCCGGAGGCTCCCCGGAGCTTACTAGGCCGATATGCTAATGTCAGACTTTGGCCTCGGTCATGTGTATGGAGTTCATTGGGCCTACCGGGGACCACGAGCCAGAACCTAACCCCTAGAGAGAGAGGCAAGGGGAGTAATGGCCTATAGAAACCCCCGTGTGATTGGAAGTATTCTATGTCTGCCATTAACCGGGTCAGGCACCCAGGAAGGCAAGCACCCAAAACAAACCCCTATTCTGGTGAAAATTGCAACCAAAAGCTGAACGAGTGGATAGAACTCTCCAAACAAAAACTAGCCAACTAGTATGACGTCATCCGTCGTCGCGGCGCAGTCTGCACAGCTTCCCCCATCCTGGGACGGGGAAGGGGGGGGGGGAGCCCCAGACCTTCTGCGCCAGCGATCCACACCCCATTTCTGAGGCTGGATGTCAAAAAACGTGGGAAAAAACGCCGACTAGAGAGAGGGAGGGAGGGAGGGAAGGCCAGGGAGCCACCGGGTTTCACCCTGAAAATGGCGTTTGATTACATTCAACGCTGGTTTTCTGGGGGAGCCCCTACAGCTCCCCAGAGCTAACTACCCACAGAGGAAAGAGTAGGGACTTACCCAGGAGACGGATGCTGCTCACACCTCAACCCAAAGTCGAGACAACTGGCTTCGTCTGCCTACCCAAAGCGACACGGGCCCAACCGGGCCCAGGAACGTTAACAAGGTAACGAGCAGCCAGGACCCTGTTCGACCACCAAAATCCCTGCGCCCGAATGTCAGCCCAAGACATATTCCTAAAGACGGCGGCAAGAGCCGCGAACTTGCGAATGTTATGGGCACGGGAATAGACCGCAGGCTAGCTAGCCTTAATAACTCTGCGGACGACCTGGAAGACGCGCACCCGCAAACAGGGAAGAAGGGAAACTGGATCAACCCAAAGCGCGTCCACGGACACACAAGCCGTGGCGCGCAAATAATGGCGGAGAGCCGCAACCGGACACAAAACATGATGCACCCCCAGCCTGACCAACCAAGCATCAACAACCCAAGGACCCCTCCGGAAAGCAGCAGTCTTGTTCTTCCCCAGAAAAGAAGAAGGCTGCAGACGAACAAACCTATCGCCCCGACCGAAGGAGCAGAAACCCCTACACCGGAGAAGATTATGAAGCTCTCCAACCCGACCCCCAGAGGCTAATGCCAATAGGAAAAAAGAGCCTTCCAAAAAACAATCAGGAACCAAAGGGGCTACAACAAACCGAGGAGAAGAAAGAAAAGAGCACTCTGTCCAAAGACCAGGATGGCTTAAGCGGTGCATGAGCAGGCCGGAGGTGAAACAACGCTTGAGACAGCTTGCAAAACGGTGCAGATGTAACATCAATACCGAAAGCAAGCTGAAGCGGCTCCGCCAGCATGCAGTAAGCATGAAGCCCCACAACAAATCTGAACCAGTCCCTGAACCCCGGCCGAATCGGGACGTGCCAACAAGTGTCCCGGAGGTCCAGGTACACCAAGCGCCTGGCTCCAACAGGAGCCAAACCTGGGACAGGGTAGTCAACCAAAAGGAGGGGCAATGAAGGTAGGGGTTCAGATGGGACAAGTCCAATGAACCGCAGGTCTGCGCAGTCCTGTTCCGGGACCGGGAACAGATGTGAAACCCACCTGAGGGATGTCATCGTTTTGACCACCCCCAAGCGAACTTACTTTAATTAGACCTGATAGCACAGAGGCAGAGGCCTGCCCCGCCAGCCCCGAACCCCCAAAAGGGAGGGAAGGGCCACCCAACGCCACCGGAGGCTGTGCGAAACAACCTGAAATGCCTACAAATTGTGGAACCAGGCGTGAGTGAACAGTGCAAGCCTCCCTGCCCCCATTCCCCCGTCAATGGGGTGAACCGCGAAAGAGCCAGCACCCCACGAGACCCAGAACCTCGCATAGAGCGAACACCACGCCAACCAGACAAAGGCGAGTCCAAAGGAGGAGCCGAACCTGAACCCGACACCTGTGGCCTACCACGACGAGAGGAACCCCGAGCCTTGGCATGACCCTTCCGGGAAGGCCTACCACAGGACCCTTGGAGAACCAGCAAGTCCGACACAGGACAGCAAGAAGCTGAGGCAGCCTGAATATACTGTGCAACGGCTGAAGCCTAAAACAGGAGAGGACAAAACGGCGAAGACATCCTAAGAGCCAAGGCAAAAGTGGATTCCACAGAGGCAAGCACCACCTGATGACACGAGCTGAGAAGCATAAAACAGAGCAACCGCATCCTGCAAGATCGGCGCAAAAAGCTTCAGCAAGGCAGCCGACGAGCGAGCAGCTGAGGCCAAGGCACCAGAACCCGGAACAACCCCAAACTCCCTCACATCCTCCGTGAGTCAGTCGAAAGACAGCTCGAGGAGGGAAAAGAAGTGCAAGGCTGAAGCCATAGGCCCCGGCCATCTGCGCCGCCGAAAGGGCGGGAACTTGCACATGGAGCTGAACGACACCAACATCCCAGGAAAGGGCAGGAGCAAACAAGCACCCAGAGGTGCTCAAGGTCGCCCCCCCCCCCCAGGAAAACCTGCAGCACCGTAGAAGCCTCCCGCCACTCAAGCGTGCGGGAATGGCAGGAGGAGTGCCAAGCATCGAAGGAAAAGAAAGGACAGTCCACCAGCCAGGAAGACTCCGGAACCTCGTAACGGAGCCAGAAAGGGAACGAAGTCCCAAACCTGAAAGCCGAGGGATCCATTGCCGAGGGATAATCTGGGTCACGCAGGTGGTTTGCCGCAAGGGCCGCCCACTCCACAATAGGTTGGATGCGATAAGCTGAAAACTTGCGGAAAGATGGAACTGAAGCACCCGGGATAACATGGAACCGAACCAGGAAAGGGGCAGACACCAAGTTAAATTCGTACGCAGAGGGGGGGGGGGGGGAAAGAGAGAGAACCCCATTCCTTTTAACAAGACCCGCTCAGAGGGCAGAAAAACCCAGGCGGGGTCCAGCGGGGCCCCAAGGCCCTCAAGTCAGCCCCTCCCTAGCCCTAGGGTCCTCCTCCGCAGGACCCGGGGCAGAGTCCTCCCCCCAAGCACTGACCCCACCAGACAAGGCCAACGCAGCCGTAGAAGCCAGATAGAAGGGGACCCACTGGTCAGACCCAGAGGCTTCAGCCAGGGAACTAGATTTGAATGCCTCTGTCGCCACACCGGAAGGAGCATTCCCCGAGGCTGCCCGAGTCTCTAGACCAACCAACCCTTACCTCAACTCCGAAACCCTCAGACGTTTCGGAGCCGGAAGTAGGGGAGGGGACCAGAACGAACAACAGGAGGGAAAGGATGAGGAGGTGCGGACGGAACCAGTGTCGAAGCGACCCCCACCCCCAAGTCTGGGTCCCTATAAGCAAAACGGGGCAGCTGTGGGGCATCCAGGTGAGCAACCAATCTAGCGTGTTGCAACAAACAACCTAGAATGCAACGCCTGCACAGCCTGTACCCGAAGATGATAGGCAGATTGGGTAAATCGAGTCCCCCAGCAAGCAGCAAAACTCACAGGACTCGGGATCGAAAGTATCACCGACCCAACAGGCTGAGTGATGGAGGCAAAAATTGAGGGTCACCCTGATACAAAGGGGGACCAAACAACCCTCAAACTCGCATGAAGCGAGAGGGGGGGGGGGGGACTCCGGGGGTCGCATCCACCGGACCCACGCATCCCCTAGGAAATTCCCAGGGTCCTGAGCCTTTACTATGAGAGGACTTGCACTCAGGTAAACCCAGGCAGGGTACTGCTAACCTGCACCCAAAACTACCAAACAAACTCAACAGCTGAACTCCAGGGACGTGTACACTCACGGAGACCAAGCAGGGGGGCACCACCAAGTATCAGGATGAGTGCAATGCCAGTCGCAAGTAGAGCAGAACCCCCTACCAAGGCAAAAAAAGAAAAACAAAACCCCACAAGGGGACAACGTACCCCAAGGAACAGAGCCGGCCGCTGTGATAGGTGACAAGCTGCGTAGCACCCTGCGCCCTTTACTAGTGCAAAACTACCTCTTACCCTAAGGTAAACGAGGGAGACAAAACACCCAAGTACCCAAAGGGCGGCCAAAAAACCGAGTATTTAGACACACAGAGGTTGACCCCGAGGAACTTGTGGAAGGTAACCCCCAAGCTCCAAGGGCAGTACTTACAGGGCACCTAGGGAAGGGAACCCTAGACGCATGCAGCCCGAGTACTGAGGAATAACTCCTGGCTCTCGCTCCCCTGGAGCACAGCAGAAACACACATGGCACAGCACCGCAAAAAGTCTGGAGCCAGAGCACACAACCGAGCCGATAGCATCAGCCTCAATAACTGGGGTGTGGATTGCAGGCGCGGCGACGGGTGACGTCATACTAGTTTGCTAGTTTTTGTTTGGGGAGTTCTATCCACTCGTTCGGCTATTGGTTGCAATTTTCACCAGAATAGGGTTTGTTTTGGGACACTTACCTTTCTGGGTGGCTGACCCGGTTGATGGCAGATAGAATGCTTCCAACCACACAGGGGGTTTCTATAGGCCATTGCTCCCCCTTCTCTCTAGAGGGGGCCAGGTTCTGGCTTGTGGTCCCCGGTAGGCCCAAAGAACTCCATACACATGACTGATGCCAAAGTCTGACATTAGCATATCAGCCTAGTAAGCTCCAGAGCCGTATGGGCTAGCCCCAGAAAAATGATCAAGTTTGTGCCTAAAAAATATTTCTCCATTTAAAATCTAAGAACAGATCTCAAACAGCATCAAATATCTAAGTGAACATCTGGCAAGTGACATAATAAACCACAATAATACAATGCTAGTGAACAGTGGCAACTCCCTCACCCTCAGTTTGAACACCGACGACAGAGAAGAAAACTTGTTCATGAGCGAGGGCTGTGGCTTGGGTGTGGCCGTAAAGTCTTCGTGGTCGGCTGGCTCCGAGCAATGGGAGTGGTTGTCTGGGGCGCACACTAGGCAGTGCTTACAGTCGTGATCAGTGAGGCTTTCGTTGATGTTGTGTACCAGGAGGTCGTGAATGGCTGAAACAATGTGAAAGTCACTTGGCATGTTGGGGGTACCGCATCTTAACACTTGTAAAGCCAACTGAAAGATAAATACACAGACTAATTCTGGTCTCTTTAAAATTCAACAAAAAGCTAAACTATACATAAAATGTTAAACAGATGGAAAGAAAAATGAGTTACCAACACTTAAAAAGTGGGTGCAATGACTTGCTGAAAAGGTTACTTGAGAAATATCTTTTCACTGCTTTGAAAATAGGGACAATTAATTCCAGAAAAAATTTGGCAAAGAAATGTTGTTTTCGTTGGTAAGGTAATGGTGGTGATGCATTGAGGCATACATCATGTTCAAGTAGAGTAAGAAATGAGCAAAGTAACCCTCATGTCGAATCTGTTAAGGCAATGGTCAAGCAGCGAGAACCCTGGACGACAACACAAACAGCTCAATAGTACTGTAATTACCACTATTTCAGTGTATACACTATCAGCATAGTAGAATTTTTGTATAATTTCATATATTAAAGTAATTTTGCTGAGGAAAACCCTATAATATATACATGGAAGGTCAAGTTCATTTTGCACAGCAAACCACCACATTGGAGCACAAGACAAAAATTCAGAATAAAACCTGTGAGGAAAGGTGCCAGAGGCACAATCAGAGAGCACCGAACATCAAAAGCTGGCAGCAAGCATAACAAATATTACTGGAACAACGGTAGACATCAAGCAGCAATTAGAGAAGTTTTCCACTAGAAGTGTTAGACCAATTAGGGTGTAGTGGATGTGTGGGATGCCCCAAGCAACAGCCTGTTGGATCATGTTATCAAGTTGAGCCTAGCCTGGGGAGTAGAAGAAATACAGTGCAGCATTATAGCCAGTTACAAGGTATGAGCTTTGCTTTGTGTGCCATTGTCCCTATAATCATTGTTGTGTGAAGTTTGACGTCTCCAATTGTTGACAGTCACTATTCCCATGTGTGAAGTTTGACGTCTCCAATTGTTGACAGTCACTATCCCTCATTAAATTTATTCCATCCACCTCTCTCTCTCTCTCTCTACAGGAGAACAATGTTTTTCTTCGCTCTACTTTGAATGTATGACCACCTTACAGACTTTCTATATTCTTGTCAGTTTTGCAAGTGATCATGTCTTTGTGTACAAGCATATTCATAGTCAAGTCCCCAGAACTCTTATACATTGTGTTCTTTAGGTCTGGCAGCTAAATTTTTTTTTTTTTGTGATATATACAAGAGTTGTTACATTCTTGTACAGCCACTAGTACGCGTAGCGTTTCGGGCAAGTCCTTAATCCTATGGTCCCTGGAATACGATCCCCTGCCGCGAAGAATCGTTAAATTGTAGACTTGTTAGATTTTGTCTCTCTTATACAAAAGTTTTTGTTTAAGCTGTTCTGTCACTAATTCTGAAACTGTCAGGAGTAGCACGCATACATCATACTATGTAGTAGCATACATACTACCGCATTTATGTAGTCTTCTGAGAACTACTGTATCCAAGACCACCCCAAAATCTTGTCTTCACAGTGTCTAGTCAAAATCTAGTCAAAATCTAGTCAAAATCTAGTCAAAATCACAGTGTCAAGTCAGTGCATCAAAACAAGCCGAAGTTTTGATGCATGACCCACAAGCACTCGGGTGAAGAATCAAGTGGTCCTATACCTTACAACCCAACTTCTCTCTCTCTCACAAATCACATTAACATGATTTATATCAATGAGATAATATCAATTCTCTAATGTAATTCCTCATAATTGATATATATCTATGAAAATTTGTATCGGGTTTATGTGATTTCCGTGTTAGTGAACAGTGTTCGTTAGGATCCTCAAGGTGGCAGGAACATATCTAAAGCACTTGGCCGCTGTAATACTCAAAATACTTGAAAAAATAATTAAAGCTAAATGGGTGGAACACCTAGAGAGAAACGATATAATATCAGACAGACAGTATGGTTTTCGATCTGGAAGATCCTGTATATCGAATTTTCTCTGTTTCTATGATCGAACCAGTGAGATTTTACAGGAAAGAGATGGTTGGGTTGACTGCAGCTAACTGGACCTTAAAAAAGCTTTTGACAGAGTTCCACAAAAGAGATTGATCTGGAAACTGAAACATATTGGAGGGGTGGCAGGTAAGCTTCTAACAAGGATAAAAATTTTAACTCTTAGAAAGATGAGGGCAGTAATCAGAGGCAATGTACCAGACTGGAGAAATGTCACAAGTGGAGTACCACAGGGTTCAGTTCTTGCACCAGTGATGTTCATTGTCTACTTAAATGATCTGCCGGATGAAATACAGAATTATATGAACATGTTTGCTGATGATGCTAAGATAATAGGAAGGATAAAAAACTTAGATGATTGTAATGCCCTTCAAGAAGACCTGGAAAAAATAAGTATATGGAGCACCACTTGGTAAATGGAATTTAATGTGCATAAATGCCATGTTATGGAATGTGGATTAGGAGAACATAGACCTCACACAACTTATCAATTATGTGAGAAATCTTTAAAGACTTTTGATAAAGAAAGAGATCTAGGTGTGGTTCTAGATAGAAAACTATTACCTGATGACCACATGAAGAACATTGTGCGAGGAGCCTATGCTACACTTTATAACTTCAGAATTACTTTTAAATACATGGATGGCAAAATACTAAAGAAATTGTTCACAACTTTTGTTAGGTCAAAGCTAGAATATGCAGCGGTTGTGTGGTGCCCATATCTTAAGAAGCACATCAGCAAACTGGAAAAGGTCCAAAGACATGCCACTAAGGGGCTCCCAGAACTGAAGGACAAGAGCTGCGAAGAGAGGTTAGAGGCAATAAATATGCCAAAAGTAGAAGACAGAAAAAGAGGCGATATGATCACTATGTACAAGATAGTAACAGGAATCGATAAAATTGATTGGGAAGACTTCCTGAGACCTGGAACTCTGAGAACAAGAGGTCATAGATTTAAACTAACTAAACAAAGATGCCAAAGTAATACAAGAAAATTCACTTTTGTAAACAGAGGTAGAAGGTTTGGAACAAGTTAGGTGAGGTGGTCGTAAGAGGCCAAAACCGTCAGTACTGTACTTTGAAAGCGTTGTACGACAGAGTGCTGGTAAGACAGGACACCACTAGCATAGCTCTCATCCTGTAACTTCACTTAGGTAATTAAACTTAGGTAATTACACACACACACACACACATACACACATACCCACACACCAACAAATCAACACATGGTCAAAGGAGGAGCTAGATAGTAAACGTGAAGGTCTTATAACAATAATGAGAGAGATTATAGCGAGAGCGGATAACGATAGATCACGACTGTTGATAGTCGGTGACTTCAACTTCAAATCCATAGACTGGGAAGCATATGAAGCTAAAACAGAAGATTTTTGGACCTGTAAATTTGTAGACCTCATCCTGGAAACATTCTTGTATCAACATGTTAAACAAGCTACGAGGATGAGGGAAGGGGACGTTCCCACCATGCTAGATTTGATATTTACCAGGAAGGAGGAAGAGATATTTGACATTCAGTACCTTCCTCCCTTGGGTAAAAGTGACCATGTCTTTTTGGGAATAAAGTATGCAATGCATTATAAGCTGGAAGAAAATAAAGAGGTTGAAGCAGTTGAAAAACCAGACTTCAGGAGAGGACATTATGGTGACCTTAGAAATTTTTTTAGTGAGTATAATTGGACAGACGATGCTAGGCAAGGAAGTGAATGAGATGCATGTCAAGTCTTGTGAAATATATGATAAAGGCACAAAAAAATTTATACCAAAACAGAGATGCAGAACTAGGAAACAGGATTGGTTCAATAGAAATTGCGAGAGGGCTAGAGACCAAAAGACACAAAAATGGAATCAATACATGAAGAGGCCAAACCCCCAAACATACCAGCGATACAAAGATGCGAGAAACAACTACACGGCAGTGAGGAGAGAGGCAGAAAGAAATTTTGAAAAAGGGATTGCAGACAAATGTAAAACAGAACCAGGTCTATTCTATAAATTCATAAACAACAAATTGCAGGTAAAGGATAATATTCAGAGGTTGAAAATGGGAAATAGATTCACGGAAGATGAAAAGGAAATGTGTGAAACACTAAACAAAAAGTTCCAAAGTGTGTTTGTACAAAATGAAATCTTTAGGGAACCAGATACAATAAGAATTTCAGAGAACAACAGAGCACAGAGGTGTCTAGAGACGAAGTGGAAAAAATGCTCAAGGAGCTAAGTAAGAACAAAGCAGTTGGTCCAGATGGAGTTTCACCATGGGTTCCGAGAGAATGTGCACCCGAGCTCAGCATTCCACTTCAACTGATTTTTCAGGCATCCCTGTGTACAGGAGCTGTAGCTGATGTGTGGAAACAGGCTAACATAGTTCCAATCTACAAAAGTGGAAACAGGGAAGACCCCCTTAATTATAGACCTGTATCATTGACAAGTGTAATAGCCAAAATATTGGAAAAAATAATTAAAACTAAATGGGTACAATACCTGGAGAAAAATGATATAATATCAGACAGACAGTATGGTTTTCGATCTGGAAGATCCTGTGGAACGAACTTACTCAGTTTTTATGATTGAGCCACAGAGATTTTACAGGAAAGAGATGATTGGGTTGACTGCATCTATCTGGACCTAAAAAAGGCTTTCGACAGAGTTCCCCACAAGAGGTTGTTCTGGAAACTGGAACATATTGGAGGAGTGACAGGTAAGCTTCTAACATGGATGAAAAATTTCCTAACTGACAGAAAAATGAGGGCCGTAATCAGAGGCAAGGTATCGGATTGGAGAAATGTCACAAGTGGAGTACCACAGGGTTCAGTTCTTGCACCGGTAATGTTCATTGTCTACATAAACGATCTACCAGATGGAATACAGAATTATATGAACATGTTTGCTGATGATGCTAAGATAATAGGGAAGATAAGAAACTTAGATGATTGTCATGCCCTTCAAGAAGACCTGGACAAAATAAGTATATGGAGCACCA